AGGGCCTTGGCGGCCGCCTCCTCCAGGGCCTCGGCCACGTGCACCCGCTTGTGAGCCACCAGCTGGTCCCACTGCGCAAAGCTGCGGCCACAGTTGCCGCAGATGAAGGGCCGCGCCTCGGGGGCCGGCGGGTGGCAGCGCCGCAGGTGGGCCCGCAGCTGCTTGCGGCGCCAGAAGCGTCTCTCACACTCGGGGCAGGCCTGGGGCCTCTTGGCAGCCGAGTGCGCCCGCAGATGCAGAACCAGGGCCACCCAGCTCCGGAAGCTCTGGCAGCAGAGGTGGCAGGCGAAGCCCAGGTCTGCGGTGGCCGCCGCGTGGACCTGGCGGTGCAGCGCCAGGAAGGGGGCGTGTCGGAAGCGCCTGCCGCATTCGGCACAGGGCAGGGGCAGCCGGGCCTGGCAGCGGCGGGCGTGAAGCCACAGGGCCACCCAGCCGGGGAAGTGCCTCCGACAGTGGGCGCAGCGATGGGCCCCCGCCCGGACCTGGCCGTCCGCCTGGGCCACGGGAGCGCCGGGCAACCTCAGCCGGCCGGGCTCCTTCTCCAGCGCCTGGGGCGACACCTGGGAGGGCCCCGAGAGGGGCCGGGGCTGGGCGGGGCCCATGGCCAGGGGGCCCCTGCAGCGCCGTTCCAGCATGGGTTCTGCCTCTGTGGAGAGCGGAAAAGCACCGTCACTCTGGAGATCCCCCCAGCCTGCCCCGCCCACCCCTGCCCACCCCGGCGGGGGTCACCCCCCCCGTGAGAACTAGAGCCCAGCGCCAACTACGCCAGCGGGTCTTTGCGCGCTCTACGGCGACGTCAGCGCTGGGCTTCCAGCTCACTGGCAAATGTACCTGTCCTAAGGTCTCTGAGGTTGGAAACTAGAGAAGGGAGGACTCGGAGGCTTCCTGGCACCCCCACTCTGGCAGCTGCCCCAGGCTGGCCCGGAGTCCCCGCTGCAGAGTTGGCTGTAAGAACTGTCCCGGCTCAGGACTCACCAGGGCCTCCCAGGGGCTCCGCGCTGTCCCCAGGCCTCCCTGGCCCGGCCTGTTTCTATTTCCTGCCGCCACACCTGAGGCTGCCTGAGGACCTGAAGCTCCGTGCTGGACAGATACAGCAACTCTCAGGCACAAGGAGGTGGCGGGACTGCGCAAGGGGCCACGGGAACCTACAGCGGAACCCAGCGGGAGCCGGCCTCCACCTCCGGCGCAGCGGCACCGACAGCCGCTCACCGCGAGCCCCTCTCCAGCGCTGCCTAACCCATCCACCTGATCACAGGCAGGCTCTTCCGGCCCTCCCGGCCTGGCTCTCAGCGGAGAAGCCTGGAGAGCCTCCTTTCGGGAGGCCAGGGTGCAAGCCGGACGCAGCGCCCAGCCGGGAGGCGCGCCGGCCACCACCTGTCCAGACGGCGCCCGCATACTGCCCGCCCGCCCTCCTCTGCCCGCACACGTGACCAGGGCGCTGCAGGAAGGAGGCTCCCGGGCCCAAGCAACACCCACAACCTGCCGCCTGGGGGCGGGGAGGGGGTGCGTCCCTGGCGGCCAGCCTCCCTCCCTGGCAGGCTTATTGGGGCGAGAGCAGTGGAAGGAAGAGATTGTTATCTCGGTCCCTGCCTGGTCCTGCCGGGCCCTGCTGGAGGCTGCCCCACATTCGGCTCCCACAGGGGCAGCGGGCCGGGCCTGCAGGAGGCGGTGGCCGCGACTCCTGAGGCAGCTTCCCCACTGCTCTGGGCTCCTGGGCGCTGCTGCAGGCACAGGCCTCTCCAGGCCACCGCAGGCCAGAGCCGCATCCCCGGGCCTTCCCCGGCCAGGGTGGCGAGGGCTGAGGCTGCCAACGGTCTGGGAACCCAACAAAGAAGGCCACACTCTACCCGGGACACGCTGGAGCTGCAGCTGGAGCGGGGGCTTTGGCCAGCTCCTCCTGGGCACCGTCCTGGGGATGCTTCTGCGGCTGCAGCGCCTGCTCCGGCCCACACTCTGGTAGCCCCCCGATGTCAGAGAAAACTGCAGCAGTAGAGACACCCCTACCCCCATGGCAGAGCTCAGACCTCCGAGTGCGGAGAGGCCGGCCTTACCTGCGGGGAGGGGAGAGAAAACACGGTGAGGCTCTGGGGGTGAGGCGCCGGGCTCCCCTCAGGCGGTCATCTTTGTGTCCTCGACAGCCACCACCCC